TAAAAGCAGTGAAGTGTTAAGAATCAGTTTTAACTTAAAAAAGTCGAGGATATGTCGCAGATTATATGTAAAGTAGCAAAAAGAGGAATCGCTATAGACCAGTATATAATTCTCAGTTTTCGCTTTTTTCCGTCTTTTTTTGTCACAATATACTTTTAATAACTAGGAAATTTAGTGACTGGCATAATTTTTGAGAGAAAAGGATGGAGAGGAGGGGGGGGGGGTAATCTAAATGAGCATTGGTGTAGAAAAAAAGATAGTAGAATTATTTATACATGATTAATAATCGCATTTCAATTATCATTTAACTAGTTGGAATTTTAGAAAAAAATATGCTTTGAGATCTCTTAATTTTTACCTTTCTATTGTTACCTTTTACGACTCAACCGAAGGTAACATAAGTAGTTATAAAATAACAAATATACCCTGTTCATCTTCAAATTTTAATAAGACAATTCGCAATAGCGGCACACGTTGAGAATTTCTCGGCACATCTAAGTGCTGTGGCCAGAGGTTGAGAGCCACACTAGGCATTACAAATATACCAAAAATAATAAAAACTTGACGAATCTTTATAGAATTTTCAAGTTTTAAAGAGTATGTTTAGGGACTAGAGTTTACCGATTGGTATAATTTAATTTAAATTGTTTTAAGTGAATGCAGACTATTTTCTCTATGACATTTTCATAATAAAATAATCCTTAAGACAAAATCATAAATATGTAACTTATTTTTCGAATTGAATAATGATTGAATTGAATCACTTAGTTTCCTAAACATTTCATTTACAAGCGAAGAAATACGTATGCATTAAATAATCACCGCTAGTGAACATTTAAGTACGAGAGCGTATTTTAGGAATAACTTCCTCACAATTGATGATTTATTTGTTAAACTAGATATAATTTTAACAATATTTAGATGAACTTAATTTTTCGCTGTTAGTTTTAAGAAAATTACACCAAGCTAATTTTACTGGTAACAGTCAACGTGTTCTTGAAATAAAAATAAATTAATTAACAATTTTACTGAGGACTCTAATAATTAAGGAATTTTAAAGTATTGAAATGAATATCGTCGATAAGAAATGGTAAAAAAAAGCTTATAAGCAAAATTATTAAAATTACAATTTTATGCTAAGGTTAACTTAAATTCTGTTATAAAAGTTATAAGGACAAAAAAATAATGAATTAATTTTAAAAAATCTTTTAATGTTAGTAAGCTTAAATGATTCTAAAAGTGTGTTAATGTTAAAAATAGAATGCTTGGAAAGATACTCTGTATTAAATTCGTTTATCTATTTCATCATATACTAACGATTATGTTTAGGTGAAAAAAACTTCAAAATAATATAAATAATGGATAAATTGCACTAGATACTAAATTTATTTTAATTAAAACATTTTAAGAAAAATAATATAAGCAATTATAATTTTTGCGAAACATATCAAATTTTTATTCCACTTACAATTAGTAATTAATTGCTTTTAAGCTGATGCACCTAAAATTTAGAAGTTTCTTCAAAATGTAATTCTTAATTTAAAACTAGGAAATCACCGAATCAAGAAACAAACTGCTAAATTATTCATTCTGCAGAGATAAAACCTTTTAAAATTGTTTATTTACAAAAGAGACACAAGGTAGTTTTTAGTTTCTGGGAGTAGGGAAAAGTTCTTCAAAATTGTCAAATTGAGCTAAAAGTCAATAGATAGAAAAATGTGATTGAACAATTTTCAGAAACAGCTATTAATTTCGATTGGGCGAGATCACGCGATCGCGCGATTTGGAAATGCTGCAAAGAAATCAATTTTCTTGAGAATGTTACTGAGCACCTTAATATCTTATGAGGAATGAGGTGTTCATTTTGGTGTTACTTTTTTATGAGTTTGTTTAAGAATGAAAAATTATGAAATTGATTACGTTATACAGTTGATCTCTTCACACATACTGCTTAAAATTAATTTTAGATAATATCAAATAACTTATGACTTAATGATTTATTCTCTTAATTTTATCTTTTTTGGACAGTTATTTTGAAACAATAAAAACAGTTTTAATAATGGAATGCTAATGTGTATAAAATAAATTGAAAACCCACGCAATAAATGCTTTAACAGTTTTGGTTGACTAATTCTGTAAAGTTATCTTGAACGAAGTGCAAAGAAAATAAAAAGGAAAGAAATAATATCGCAAAATAACTATAGCTGCTTAAAATAGAATTTAAATGGAGAAGTTCTCATGCTGTGTTGGGAGAGACTAACTCTAAATTAAGAGATAATGACGCTTCTCAGAAATAAAATATTTTAATTAGAGATGAAAGTAATTATTAGAAAATTTCATGCTTTGACTATTGAAACTGCTTATCTTCTTAAAGAATAAAGATAATATTAAGTTGTGTATATGAGTTAATCTGCATAATTGACGGAAAGTATTACGTAATTTCTTTGAATGATTAAAATTCCAATTACAATGATTGAATCTTTCATGAAAATATTTTAATCTTTATCAATTAATTAAAAAACAAACAACCATTTTAAGTTGGTGAGATCTTTTAAGCATATTCGTCCTCGGTTTCAGATGCACAGCATTTCAACAACATATTCAATGGACAAATACTTTGACAGTTCGTTTTATTCGTTGAATTAGAAACTGTATTCATGAAATCAAGAGTGATGAAATTTCTATATTTGTAATGAATCTTAACTGTAACAATATTTTGCAAGAATTGAAGCTATTTCGTAATTTTCATTCGACTGGATTTCAACTTTCAATTAATTTAAATATGAATATTTAGTATATACATTGTTGCAAGTTGGTATCTTGCACAATCACACACGTCATTAATATAAAATTACCATTTTATTAATTGCATAGGAGCAGATACCGGAACATGGCAACAAATAAGTATAATCGTCACTGCCTCGATTTATATGCTTGACTTATTTTTTCAATTGCAACAAGTTTTTTAATAACTAATAAGCTTAAATCACTATCTCTCTTTTTAATATAAACATATGTGGGAATTTTATAAAAGCATGGATTTATTAAGGGCGATTCCTTTTCTGTTTTGAACATCATATTTTTGTGCTTTAAAATTTTAGTTATAATTCATGTATGATACATAAATGTTTTCAAGAACAGACTATTTTAAATAATTTAAACTTATGCATTCATATATTTCTCATATACTATTTTACTATTTTCTGTAACTTGAATCTAAAAAAACTATTTGTTTATGTTTCACAGTTTATTTCTTATCAAATAGAAATTTTAAATTGTTTATATATATATATCATTTAACATATTATTGTTTTGTCATATAAAACTTAACACACTTGTCTGTGCACAAATTCATTCACAAAACTAAAATTGGAAGAAATCACATTTTTCTTTCTAAAATCCCTGACTCAATTAATTTTATATATACCTTAATAATACTTCTTTAAATTCCACCCTCATGAAATATTATGCAATTAAAATTTTATTCACCTATTCTATTGATAAGCTCCTTAAAGTTATTTTATCTTGAATTTGTTAAATCTAGATACAAATTATCAAAAACATAGGATTACAGGAAAGTGTGTCAATATTTTTTGTAACGCTATTAAAGGATTTACCCTTTTTTAAAAAAATTTCTCTTTCAGGCTTGTTTTGTAAATGATTTTGCAACAAATTACCCGTATATATATTTTGCAATTTCAATGCCATTCCTACTTCTTGGGTTTTTTTTTTTTTGCTCAGACGTGCCCTTGATTTATTTGATAAATTTTAAATAAAACTACAATAAATATTTATTGAACTACTAAAAATTAGTTTTATATAAATTATTAAATTTATGAATTAAATCTAAAGAAAATTTATTTTTTCAATCCTTATTGTTATAAAGTAAAAAGTTTATAAAGTCTATGAAAATGAATTATAATTGACAATAAATTGTTTTTTTTTAATACATATGAAACAATTTTACATTTTTGTTTCAAGTTCATGCGTTATATTCAAACATCTAATACTGTTTTTATACAAAATTAAATGAGATTCCTTAAACATTTTACTATGTCTAAAGAAAGTAATAAAGGGTACTATTATAGAATTAATGCAACCATTTTTTTAATTTAGAAATAATCTACAATAAATAATGATATATTGCCTTCTTTGAAAAACAGAAAGAATTCGGAAATGAAATAAAATAAAGCCGTTCCAATTAAGAGAAGTGATTAAAATACAATTATTTCTTTCAGTTCATTTTATTTCATAAAATGTCTGCTGATTTAGTTTTCGATTTAATTTGCAATTTGTTTTCTTGAAAAAGTTGTATTTGTGGTATTTTTAAAACAGAGTTTGTAGTTTTAATAAATCTGTATATATTTCTCTAATTAGATGGAATGGGAAAACAAGAGAATTAAGGCAATTAATATTTTTAAATTTTAATGATATCCCATATAAAAAATTTAAAATTCCACAATTGCATAGATATATTTTCTGAAAAAAAAATAAATATATATTATATTACCAGTATATTAATATTAACTTGATTGAAAATACATATTAAAAGTTTGTTTCTCTTGAAGTAAGAATAAAGTATCTGGGAAAATTAAAAAAAGAAATATTAAAACAAACTCAGAGATTAAGTACATTATACTCATACTACATTTCTAAGTAAACTCAAAATCCTTTTAAATTCTAGAATGCAGCTTCAAATTTCCAATGCATCCAAGAATCTATCCGATGTTGAAATCAATTCTCTCTCTCTCTCTCACTCTATATATAAATATATAACAACCAGGGGAGTATCACGTGAGGTGTGTGAATAAATATAGAAAAACTAAATATTCCTCACTCTTACAGTGAAATGGGGAAAATGTCTATAGCCTTGCAGACATTTGTAGTGGATCCCTTGATATTAATACAGTTTTTTCAAATATTAATTCACTAATTAATGGATAAATTGTAACAAACAAAAATAATAGTCCAACACCATATATAAAAAGGAAAATCGCATGATAGTAGCGCAATGGACAGTGCGTTGGACTTCAAATCCAAAGGTCGTGGATTCGATTCCCACCTGGGCTGGCCTAATTTCTGAGGATGCAACTTCTTTTTTCTATACTATTTTATTGGAATAATTAAATTTAATAAATAAATAATTTATTGATAAACTCATATATTTGTACAGATATTTTTTTTTGTAAGATCAAAAAGTATTTGTGAATAAATTTGAAACAAAATGGCACAAGAAAGTCTGAACTAATTTTAAACAAATAATACTGATTTTAGTCCAGAAATCTCAGAAGAAACTGTTTGCTACTATCCTGCACTTGATAAATTAATGTCTAAAGTAAAAATTAGTGAGTCTTTGTTATAAAAAAAATTAAATTACCATAACTGGGTAAAAAATGCATACAACCTATTTTTTGTCAGTTCAATTTGATAAAGTTTAATATAGCTTTAAAATGAAATCTAAAATTATGTGTTTTAATATTTTGATAAGTTTTTCTCATTTTAAATGTCCTTGATCTTATAGCCTCCACTCACAAATTAATCCTCGTGTTGCGGGCTTGCGTGAAATATTTATCATATATATGTGGCCCGGTATAAAAAAGGTTGTGTACCCCTGGTCTGGGTAGTCATGGTCGTAAACTAACAGACGGTGTTGATAGAATCGAACTGTGGTTTCTAATTTTGATGCTACTAAATTCTTATAACGTAATGGAGCTGTTTCTCAAACTTCTGATGTTGGTTAAGAGAGAAATTCGAAATGGGAAGTGTTAACTCGGGTGCTATCCTCGTCACTTAATCGTGGTTCGTATTACAAGATTCTTTGCCAATAGCTCTCGTGCTGCTTCAGAATTCGATGTTTAAGTTTCATATGATCAACGTAAATATGGGACAACATCTTTTGTCGCTCCATATCCCCCAAAACCTGTAATTGTACCTGTAACGTAAATATGGGCCTAATTATATCATTGTACTCGAACAAATGTTATTTACACTATGATAAAAATTAAAATTGAAAAGATCAGAAAATACTCTTACAGAAATCAAAGCTGAAGCAAAATTATACGAATATCATATGACAAACACAAATAGGGTCATATTGAATATATCAAAGCTTCCTCACATGACGTGGAAACTTGAAGATTTGGCTGCTAGGGCAGGTGTTGTCCTCATTAGCTGACTGTGGCTCAAAATTGCGAGATTCATTGACAAAATAGCTCTAGTGTAACTTCAAAAAATAAACAATAAGCGAATATATGGATCGAATCTGAGATATTGAGAAGGCTTATATTTTGATTCAAAATAAAATTTTTGATGATTATATGCTCTTATGTTTATATATAAAAGGTGCTGCCAAATTCGACCGACAAATTTAGAGGTGAGATAGTAGGTAGAATGGGGGACGACAAATCAACGTACAACAGAGGTCCAAACCACTTTTAGTCGGAGGGAATCACGATAAAAGTCCGAACGCTTCAATGGTGTTAAATAACTTGTTTTTTCCCACAGCATGTCCAGGGCCGGACCGTGACCTTTGGGGGCCCTTGGGCTAAAGATATCTGGGGGCCCCCTAAATAATTAAAAATTTTGCCTTTTTCCTAAAAAATTATTGTGCGGAAAAATTTTAAATATACGAAACTTAAAGTCCCCCCCCCCCCAAACAACATAAATATGTTATAAGCAATAACATAATCATAACAAAAAAAAAAGACTTCTACACTTTTATGCTGAATATTCTTTTATATGATCATCACATTTTAAGTCTTTGGTGAGATTAATATTAATAGAAAGAAGTGAATAATAATTAAGCCTAGTATTTGCCATTGTTGTCCTATATTCGTTTTCTATGTAGGGTATTTTAGAGAATGCACGCTCTGCTCCACAACTAGTAATACGGATCGTTAGAAAATCTTTAAAATGGAATACAAATATGGAAAAACCTGAACTAGTTTCTTTTAAAAAATTAAATGGAATATATCACTACAAGTATAGGACTTTAGCTGTGTTTTAGATAATTTTTAATTGAACTCCTTCATTTACTAAATGTTGGTCTACATCATTTGAATAGTAATTAGTAATAGCGTGTACACTTTCCAGGTCAACGTTTTCCTTATTTTGATCTTGCAAATCCATCAAAAATTTTAATTTCTTACTTTATTCTGCATATACATACTTGATTTCTTCTATTTAAATCAAGGATTAACTTATCTAACGCTACAATAATTGCGTCTCTTTTAGCTTTTTCTGTGAATTATCCGCAAATTTTGTAATAACCTGTCTCTAGTTCACATCGCTATATTCTGTTGCTACGGCAGGACTTAATTTTTTGGCTGCGTCTTCATACTCCTTTGATTTTTGATCCGATTCACATCTTGTACATTGCTTATAAACATTTTTAATGACATAATGAACTTATTTCCTTCACAGATGTCCAAACCCCGAGTCTGTTATTTTTTGTAAACTGAATTAAATCTTTCTAAAATTTCTTCCCAAAATATAATTAAAGTGGCAGTTTCGAGTTTTGTTAATTTGTTAAATAAATTTGGTGCTTCTTTTTTTTATCAAACTACGTATGTATTAGGACCAGTTTTCGAAATTGTAGTATTTAAAAAAAAAAAAAAAACCATTGTTTGGCGCAGCTTAGCCTAACTTGGCTTTTGCACCATTAAATCAAACAATCAAATCAAGCCTCTTTTTGAAAATCAATTTTCTCATTTTCATTGTCACTAAATATCTTAAGAATATTCATGATATTACAATATTTATCTCTTGAGGCTTCACAAAGATCTTAGTGACAAGACCATCTGGTCTCACTAAATCTTTTTATGGTAAGTTTCACAGTTTAAGTTCACGATTTAGAAGTTTCTACCTATAGGTCGAAGTAGAAAAGCAAACATATATTTGTTGCACTAAACCAAAGAAGTTAACGATTTCAGTTGCAACCTTAAATGATTCTGCACAACTAGATTAAGAGAATGTGCAGCACACGTCACAAAATTATCGATTTTTTTCTTCTTTCAGAAGAGCTTGCACAGCATTATATGGACCGGACATACTGGCAGCGTTGTCATATGGTTGTCCCCTACAATTATCCAATAGCGGTCCATTTGTTTCTAAAAATTCTTGTAGATAATTTAATATAAACCTGTGTAACTAATAGTCTTAATTAATGAGACAGATCTTTCATACATTTTCCCCCAAAAACATTATCGTGGAATAATAGAAAATTAGTAATTATGGGACAAATCTGCTGTTGAATCCATCACGATTGTATAGTACTTTGTGTCATTGTTATTTATTTGAGATATATAATTTTTTAATGATTTGCTTTCCCATGATCTCAACTATTTGCTCATACATTGTTTTTGATAAGTACGATATTAACGATTTTGGTCGTAATTCTCGCAGTTCAATATATTCACGAATGAATGAGTCGAACTCTGCTAGCATTAACGATGTGTTAAAAATGTAGCGAGAAATTATATCAATCAAGCAATCAAATCTATCAATTTTGCTATCGATGTCGTGCTGGTACAAATTGTGAAATAATTTTTTTCTCTTTGTAATTGTAATGGCTAGTGATAACAAATAACAATGCAGTAGCCCCCATTTTATAGGTGTAACTAATTTTTAACTAACCCTCATGTCTAAAAAACATTTGCTGTTTCATGACGATTGGGATCTTGACTATTTCGTAGATAAAAAAAACATGGATCAACAACTTGTTTGATTTGTCGTGAAAATGTTACATATAAAAATATAATTTTGGTCGTCACTGTACTACGAAACACAAATCTTTCAATGACTCTTATTCTTGAGGATCTATTTAAATATGAGATAAATTGGTTTTCTTAAAAAAGAAAAACAACTTTGAAACAGCAATAAATATTTTGCAGATGGTATGTCACAAAAATGCCGAGGTAACAAAAGCATCTCATAAAATTTAATACATTATATATATTGACAAACATATAAAATTGTTAATGATGAACTTAAGAATTATTACAGAAATTGTTAGAGTGTTTCTTAAATGCTCCCGATGTACTCTTTGATGAATTCAGTTATTTGTTCAGATATTTTTTTTTTATAAAATCAAAAAATATTTGAATAAATTTAAAACAAAAATGCGCAATAAGAACAGACAGTTTATACAGATAATATTGATTTCAGTTTGTTGTTCAATAAAAACTCTTTGCTAACATCTTGTGTTTGATAAATTAATATCTGAAATAAAAATATGTAAGGCTTTGTCAAAATATAAAAAATCAAATTATCCAAGTACTTGGCAGCTTTGTTTTTATGACAGTAGAATGCAGACAAGAGGCATGGCATCATTGATTAACGGAAATTGAAAATTTCCCCCGTAATTGGGTAAAAAGTGAATGAAACCTATATTTTGTGTGTTTTGTTTGATAGAGTTTGGTATATAGTTTTAAAATAAGATTCAAATAAGATCCATTATATTTTGACCAATTTTTCACATTTTAAATGTCCTTGATCTTATAGCTTCTCCCTGTCTATTAATCCTCATGTTGCGGCCCGCGTAAAATACATGTCAGATGTATGTGGCCCGGGGTAAAAAAAAAAGTTGAGTACCCCTGTTCTAAAATGCTAAACATCTTGTAGCCAAATACTTTACTACCGCAATAACACGTTTGAGGACATTGTGGTAATATTCCGTATCTTTTCTTAGTTGCTCCTGTAATTGTTTATCTAAAAAAGACTTTGATTATTAGAAAATGATCTCTTTTTTGTTCTTTGTATTCTCTTTATGTAACAGAATATATATTGTTTGGATCTTTATTTTGAAAATAACTCATTTCATGTCGAGGGATACAATCAATAAAATTATTACTTAGCGATTTAGGCCACGAACCTACATGAAAAATCCTAATCTTCCTACTTCGTGTCTTCATACTTAAATAATTTAGAAATGTGTATTTGTACTTACTTTTTACTTGAAACCAATAAACAGGTACCTAAGTATCTTTTAATTTCAGGTATTATGCATAGAACACAGCACCAAAACAGTATAATTTGTAACTTATTACACAAAATACACAAAAATAATTACA